TTGGAAGGTAGTCATCGGGAGCCTCGAGACGGGGGTCAGTGCAAACGGGGGTCAGCCAGGGCACCAGATCCTGCTGGATCCTGCGAAGACCACCTCTGGCTGACCCAGGTCAGCGAGCCGCTCGTGGCCGCGAGGCGGCCGCGCATATTGGCTGACCCGGGTTTGCGAAGACTTGCGTTGCAGTTTGTTGTTTTCTGCACTGCAGTTTTTTGGTTTCCTGCTGGCCCGGGTCTGGATTGACCCGGGTCAGAAGATCCCCGAAGGAAATATAGTCATGGCACGATGTTCCAATCTTCTTTTTGTTGTGGACCATTTCGTTTTTTCATTCGTCCCCAGAATCCGCCTGTAGGGGGACATGCCCGACCTAAACCTACTTTCGCCTGGATCACCAGAAAGAGCCTCGAGCACCAAGAGAGTACCGAAGCTGGAGGGTTTTCGCGTGTCGGGCCGCGGAGGCGATACTCGTTCGACACTCTTTCGATGCTATTCTGGGTGCTCGGAATTATTTATTCTTGGACGTGGTCCTTCAGTACGGTGGGAGCCACAGAGACTTCCAGCGCCGATGCAAGAAATCCGCTTGGACTTCCAAAAGTTTGTGCTTCTGTTGGGATGCAGCTCCTCGGAGGTTGAATTCAGAATCGGCGCTGATATTTCCCGGGTTAAAAACTGGCCCAATCTGAGATGATCCTGCTTCAGTCTGGCTTTTTCTCGCTTGATCTATCTGGTCCAATCTCGTAAAATTTGGCTTCACCCCGGGCTTCGTCCGGGCTGATCCGGTTTACTCGCCCGTGGCCCGCTAATCGGTCTGGCCAAGGCCTCCCAGGAGTTACCGGTGTGACCTATGCTTCAGTCGGGCCTGTCCCTCTACAGGAAGAATGTTCAACAACAGTTACAAAATAGTCTCGGGACGATTTTTTAAAAGTATGTTTGACCCTTTCGGACTATTTTTCGACCATGGCCAATTTTCGCCCAACATCCCCCAAGAGGAGGACAGGCCCGACTTCATTCCAGGAGCTGCCGGTGTGATTCGTGCCGATGCGTCCTCGCTTCCCGCGCCGCTCGCGGTCCTCACCCCAGACCCCCGACGTCATGATTTTTTCATGACGTCGACCCCCAGAGATCTCGACCCATTCCCTGGGACCGGTTTTTCATCCTGAGTCGTTTTTTGACGCTCCCGAGGGCCGGTTAGGGCCTCCAAAGGCCGAAAAGTTAGGAAAAACCTCCCGTCAGAATTTTTTCATTACCCGAGGGGTCTGGGACCGAAGGGAGGCCTGCCGAGGGCCCCCGGGCGAGCTCCCCAGCCGCGCGCGGGCGCCCGGCGGGTGCGCCGCTCGCACCCACCGGGGCAGGCCTCGCGCAGCTCGCGTCTATGCTTTAAGTCGGGCCTGTCCCTCTACAGGAGGAGTAGATAAATTCGATGCTCGTTTCGGGGACCTTCCTGGAGCCCACCTAACGGATTTGTTCGACCCCAGTTCGACTCAAGTTCGACTCAAGTTCGACTCAAGTTCGACTCAGGTTCGACTCAGGTTCGACTCAGGTTCGACTCAGGGTCGACCCAAATCGACTGACATTCGACGCAGCTTCGACGCACGAGTGGAGCGAGTGGCTCCAGGAAGGTCCCCAGAACGAGCATCCAAGATAGAGATAGTAGATATCAGCCAGCGTTGAGGCCGAACAGATTAGAGGACTCGGATCAAGGAGCCAGGGGAATCGGGCATGCTGGGAAGCCAGAGCTCGGCAAGCAAGCAAGCGAGCGTGCAGGCAAGCGCGCAAGCAAGCGAACAAGCCAGCAAGCGCGCAAGCAAGCAAGCGCGCAAGCAAACATAGGCATAGGCGGAGGGGCGCCCAGTTGTGGTGCATAGGCATAGGCATAGGCGTAGGCGTAGGCGTAGGCATAGGAGTTAGGGGGGAGGCATAGGCATAGGCGTAGGCGTAGGCATAGGAGTTAGGGGGGAGGCATAGGCACAGGCATAGCCATAGGAATTTGTTGGGGGGGCACAGGAATTTGGGGGGCAGCGGACCAATCAGTGGGGTTTTTGAGCTGGGACTCCGACAGGGCACGCCTATCTGCAGACAGATCATGGATATCTGGGCCCTGCGCAGCCCGCACCCATTCCCAGAGGCTGGCGGTGTTCTGGCGGTGAACGGTTGGGAGCGCAGAGGTCGGAGAGCCGCGGGCGCGGCGCGCATCTGCTCGAGGCGGCTCGGCGCCTGGACCCGCGGTACTTGCAAAGAGGGGCGCTGGCCGCGGCTCCGTGCTCGGGGGGCGCCCGTGGCGGAGAGTCTTCTCGTGCTGCCGGCTCGTCACCGGCAAACGAATCTCATGGCGCCAACATTCAGAGCCCCGAATCATCAGGGGTAACTCGGGTCAGGGCTAGCTCGGGTTTGTTTTTCGGGAATCCGAACCCGACTTACCCCGGACCCGAGTTACCCCGGATAATTCGGGCGTCCAGAGCCCCGAATCATCAGGGGTAACTCGGGTCAGAGCTAACTCGTGTTGCCGGCCTGTCATCGACGAACGAATATTGGGCGCCGCATAGTGGGGGGGTCATAAATGGGGAGGTGGCGAGGGTGGTTCGAAAAGGTACCCAAACGGTACCGAAACGAGCCCCCTGGGGCTTCGGAGGGGCCCGAAAGGGGCACGAAAGGGGACCGTTTCTGACCCCCCCGTGTATGACCCCCCCAGAAGGTTCCACTCGAGAACATCATGGCGCCAACATCGCAGAGCGGAGCTCGTTCTGAAAGCGATCGGATGGGCCCGGAGTGTCCTGGAGAATGTCGTGCGGGATTTCGGGGTGAATTTCGTGCGGATGTTTTGGGCCAGGGATGAAGACTAGAAAACATCCACGCGAAATTCACGTCATTTTTCACTCGCCGTTTCGGGGTTTTGCATTGGCAGAAATCCACGTAAAAATCCGCTGCAGCACGTCGTCAAGGTCGGTGCAGTGACAAACCTGTTTCCACCTCATGGAGGTTGGATTGCTGCGAGCGGCAGGAGTCTGCCTCTCCCGGCGACGGCGGCGACAGCGACAGGGTTGCGGCGACGACGACGACAACAACGGCGGCGGCGACGGCCGCGATGGCGACCGTGGCCACGGCGGTGACGACGATGGCGACGTTCACGACTGACGTCCTCCGCCTCGAGAGACCCAAAGCCTCGCGGCTCGACGCCGGCGGCGGCGCCTTGAGCGCGCGGCCCAGAACCCCCAGCCCGATGTTCAGGTCCTCGTGTTGGCTTGGGGTGGTCTGGTCGGGTACAGTCGGGGCGTTGAAGAAGGAACCTTTTGCGTTGGGGAGGGGCTCGGTGTTCCTCAATCGTTCCTCACCTTGCTTAAGGCTTTCCTTAAGTTTTCGATGGGAAGTCGAAGTTTAATGCATGGAAAAAAGGGGCCTCGTTCCTTATTTGGGGTTCCTTAGGTCAACGGCCCTGAAGAAGGAACCCTTTGCGTTGGGGAGGGGCTCGGTGTTCCTTAATTGTTCCTCACCTTGCCTAAGGCTTTCCTTAAATTTCGATGGGAAGTCGAAGTTCAATGCATGGAAAAAGGGGGGCCTCGTTCCTTATTTGGGGTTCCTTAGGTCAACGGCCCTGAAGGATGAACCCTTTGCGTTAGGGAGGGGCTCGGTGTTCCTTAATCGTTCCTCACCTTGCCCAAGGCTTTCCTTAAGTTTTTGATGTGAAGTCGAAGTTTAACGCATGGAAAAATGGGCCTCGTTCCTTATTGGAGAGGCCTGACGGCCGGTGCCGCCGACCCTGATCGAAAGGGCTAGGAGTGGGAGGAGGAGGAGGAGGAGGAGGAGGAGGAGGAGGAGGTGGAGGAGGGGGAGGAGGGAGGTGGAGGAGGAGGAGGAGGAGGAGAGGAGGAGGAGGAGGAGGAGGAGGAGGAGGAGGATGAGGCAGAGGAGGAGGGAGGAGGAGGAGGAGGAGGAGGAGGAGGAGGAGGGATGAGGAGGAGGAGGTGGAGGAGGAGGAGGAGGAGGAGGAGAGGAGGAGAAGAGGAGGGGGAGGAGGGGGTGAGAGGAAGTGAGGAGGAGGAGGAGGGAGGGGAGGAGGAGGAGGAGGAGGAGGAGGAGGGAGGAGTGGTAGGGAGGAGAGGAGGAGGAGGAGGAGGAGGAGGAGGAGGCGGGAGGGGAGGAGGAGGAGGAGGAGGAGGAGGAGAGGAGGAGGAGGGAGACGGAGGAGGAGGAGGAGGAGGAGAGGAGGAGGAGAGGAGGAGTGAGGAGGAGGAGGGGGAGGGGGAGGGGGAGGAGGGAGGAGACAGGCAGGAGTGTGAGGGGGGAGGAGGAGGGAGGAGGGGGAGGGGGAGAGAGTGATGAAAAAAATAGGGGTCATTAATCACCTCCTCGTTCGGGGTTTCCCAGGAGCGACCTACGGACTGTCGTCAGTCAGGGGCCACGGTCGATCTGTCGGCGACGCGTCGCCGACTCAGGGCGGCGTTGCCCCCCTTCGCCTCCTCCTTGGCCTCCTTTTCCCTGACCCTCCAGCCTCCATCCCTCCTCCTCCTCCTCCATCCTCCTCCTCCTCCTCATCCTCCCCTCCCCTCCTCCTCCTCCTCCTCCTCCTCCTCCTCCTCTCCTCCTCCTCCTTCCTCATCCTCCCTCCTCCTCCTCCTCCTCTACCTCCTCCTCCCCTCCTCCTCCTCCTCCTCCTCCTCCTCCTCCTCCTGACGCCATGGTCTGTTCCTAAAGTCCCCCCTCCGAGGTCTCGACCCACTCCCCGGGCCTGGCTTCTCACGCCGAGTCGTCTCTCGACGCTCCCGAGGCCCGACAAGGGCCCCCGGAGGCCGAAAATGATGGAAAACTTCCCGCCGTGATTCTTGTCACGACCCGAGGCTTGGCATCGCTCGGACGTGTGCATTTTTCCTTCGGCGAGGACCATCGAGGAGCATCCTTGATCATTTCGGGGTGAAAAACACGCACGAAACCTACAAAAATACACAGGAAAAGGACGTCCGAGCGATGGCCAGGACGGGGTTTGCCTGCCCCACGCCCGGCCTGCAGAGGCTGGCTCCGGCGGCGGGGGCAGCTCCGGCAGCCGGGCCCGCACCGGCGGCAGGCCCGGCACCACGCTTTGCGGCGCGGCCGGGCGGAGGAGGGAGGAGGAGGAGGAGGAGGAGGAGCAGGAGCAGGAGCAGGAGGCAGAGTAGAGGGAGGAGAAGGACCAACAGGAGGAGGAGGAGGAGGAGGAGGAGGAGGAGGAGGAGGAGGAGGAAGACGAGGAAGACGAGGACGAGGACGAGGACGAGGACGAGGACGAGGAGAAGGATGAGGAGGAGGAGGAGGAGGAGGAGGAGGACGAGGAGGAGGATGAGCAGGAGAAGGAGCAGCAGCAGCAGGAGGAGGAGGAGGAGGAGCAGGAGGATGAGGAAGGAGGGAAGGAGACCTACTGGGATGACCGCCTGGGTTGCTGAGTGGTTCGGGGGCTACGCCATTGCGGACGTTCGGGGGGGAGTCTGTGGTAACCTTTGCGGGCGCGCCCGAGAGGCTGACCGCTCGGACCGCCGCGGTCCAAGCGGTCAGCATTTGGGGGGGCGCCCGCAGATGTTAGATGGTCACACACACACAATCGCGCACAAGTTTTCCCCCGTTGGCCGAAAGGGGTCATTACAGCGAGAACTACTGGGATGACCGCGAGGGTTGCTAAGGGGATCGGGGTGATTACATGTGGGTGCCAAGGCGGATGATATCTGGCGTGAACTAACTTACAAGGTGGTTGCAAGTGCACCAAGTGGATTGGGTCGGTTCGATAACTCCGCTAGGTGTGCGTAGCCCACTTGGTCAAGATCTTAGGCCACTTAGGGCACCTTTTAACCCATTGGAGAGCTACAATAGGATATAATTAGCTACCATGGCATCCCCGTAGAACCCCCATGTCTACTTAGCAACCCCCGCTGTCATCCCAGTAGGCAGTGGTCGCGTCGTGAACAAAAACACGGCGGAAGGTGTTTGGCCGTTTTCGGCCTCTCTGGGGGGCCTTTGTCGGGCCCTGGCGGAGGGCAAGGAGGAGAAGGGGGTGGAGGAGGAGGAGGAGGAGGAGGAGGAGGAGGAGGAGGAGGACGAGGAGAAGGGGGTGGAGGAGGAGGAGGAGGAGGAGGAGGAGGAGGAGGACAGGGGTAGCGTCGGGGGGGGGGGGGATAGCCTCGGGGGCTGGGACGGACGCATCGGCCCCCCGCCGCCCACCGCGCCGCCGACGGGAGCCCGACGGCCCGCCCGGCCCAGGGCACGAGCGGCTTCGCGATTTGGTCAGGAGGGAGGGAGGGAGGGAGGGAGGGAGGGAGAATGATAATGAGAATGTCGGTTCACTAAGTGAGGGAGAATGGGCTTCAAAGGGGTGAAGAGGGGGTCTTCCTCGAGTTGACCTGTCAGCTGGCCCGTTCGGCCTTGCTCAAAACCTTCGGCCGCTGTCTCGAACGAATCCTCTTCATATACTCTTCACCCATCGCCGTGGCACGCAAAAGACATCGGTCCTGGAGGGCGGATGTCCGCTTGCTGGAAAATGACCCGCATACCCCACAGAACCACAAGCTAAACCACGTGCTCAGCTTCATCGGATGGCTTTTGTGCACCCAGCCCCCCGCTAAGTGTAGCCTATGACATACTGGGAGTGTGTGGAGCTCGCCATTCCCGTTCAGAGGCAAAATACAAGGGGACCGTGTTCACTCGGTGGCTCTGGCCTGAGTGTCCGTGCCAAAACACCTGGAGCATTTCAAGCCCGATTCAGCTGGTGCTGTGACATCAGTGCAGCTACTACACACGGTGCAGGAGGAGGGGGAGGAGGAGGAGGAGGAGGAGGAGGAGGAGGAGGACCCGCCTTTTCCTTCACCCCTTTGTCGGCCTCCGCGACCAGCACGTCCACAGAAGCTCGAAGCAGCCTGTGCCGAACAAGGTAGGCACGCCGTTCAACTTGCCAAATATCATGTCGAACATGCTCGGGCAGCCGTGCTTGAATAGCGGCCAATATAATTAGCTCGTCAATGATAGTGTTGCCCACAACTTGCCATGATGCAGCACGGCCTCGACACACATTTTCGCCTGTGATATGGGAATTCACGAAACGGACCTCCACGAGCTCGGGCGATCGGTGCGCAAGCAACTGGCCGATCCTGGCCCACTCGTCGCTGTCCTCCCCGTGGTGATGAATGTACCTCTGGGCCTGCCAGCCTTTGAACACGTTCTCGCAATCCGTGATGTAGATGATCGCGCCCTGGCTCGCCCATATAGCTAAACAAAGGGCGCGAAGTTATCCGCGTCCAACAGCTTGCGAAGCCAAACACACTCGTGCATCTCGTGCTGTGTCCTGCTCCCCCCCCTCCAAGCACTCGCTCTTGGTGTAAGCTGCGGAGCCACTGTTCTTGGAGCAGCTCCAGTACCGATGGTGCGATGTCTCCCTCTCGCTGCCACAACGGTCACAATCACCATCATGTGAGGCACCTGCGCGGCCTGCCGCGCAAGCACCCCGCATCTTCACTGGAGGCGGCCCAGTACTCCGTGGTCGGGACACTTGTTTGTCTTTCCTGGCCTTGGGCCAAGCACCTCCCACCGCTATGTTGAGACGAAGCCCGGGTTCGATACCTCCGCGAAGTGGGCGCAGCCCATTTCATCAAGATCTTAGGCCACTCAGGGCACCTTTTCGCCCATTGAAGAGCTATTTTAAGAGATGTGTCTGCCACCCTAGGATCCACGTGGAGCCTCGCGAGCCCCGCGGTCATCCCAGCAGACGGGGCTGCAGACCAGCGCGAATTTCACACACGGGGGTGCGCTCGCCCACGGGCCGCCCGGGAGGGAGGTGGGGCGCGCGTTGCCGGCTGGCGCAGGCCGGCGACCGGTCGCATCCGCTGGTACGACCAGAAGAAGGGCTACGGGTTCATCGCCTGCCCGGAGGCGGGGGCCTACTCCCTCCTCCTCCCCCCCACACTCCTCCTCCTCCTCCTCCCCCTCCTCTTCCTCCTCCTTCTCCTCCTCCGCCTCCTCCTCCTCCGCCTCCTCCTCCTCCGCCTCCTCCTCCTCATCCTCCTCCTTCTCCTCCTCCTCCATCTCCTCCTCCTCCTCCTCCTCCTCCTCTAAAGGCGGGGGGGCCGCAGACAGACTCGCGGCAGAAATGGTAGAAGAAAAAACTGCATAAGCATAAACTTTTGGCGCTTCACGTGGGTATCTTGGATCCGCGATGCCCCCACCCCCAAACCCCCGGCGGCGCTTCCAGCGCCGCCCCTGGCACGCTCCACGCGCCAGGGAGCCAAGAAGTCCGCGAGGAGCGCCAAGGGGTTGCTGTTTCTACAGTTTTAACCAGCCTCGAACGTATCCCTATCCATAAAGGCCCTAAGATGGGCGAGCAAAAAGCGAGGACAATCTTAGGGATAGGCGGGATAGGCCTTAAAAACTAAGGGAATCATTAAGATCGGCATCGAGGTGAGGTGTTGTCTAACATAGGGATAGGGATATGTTCCAGGCTGGTACAATTTTCTTCTTCCAAGAAATCAGAACGGAGATTGTTTGTAGTTTCTGGGTCCCTCATATTGGACCCTGGGGGGTCGTGAATCGATGACTCGGGGCAAAAAGCAGGTCGGGCAATAGTCGGGACTTCTCGGGGCCCCGTTCTGATAATCGATGCGATATCGATCCAATTCGATCGACATCGATTTCGGCAAGCCCGGTCCGATTCGACTCGGGTACTCCGACGATGCCACGCGGCCCGATGCTTGCGTGCCGTTGTTGTGCATCCTGGCGCAGCTGATCCGAGTCGCTCTCGATCTCGCGCCGATGCAGCCCGCTCAGACGCACGTTTCGATTCGAACCAAGTATCCGGCTCGATGCTGACTGATCCTGCCAGAGTTGGTGGTCACCAAACGTGGTGGTGACAACATTCCCGGCGAACGCTGGTGGGTACAGGAGTTACAAAAACCAGCGGTGACCCCGTGTTCCAAAACCCGGCGTTGACTTTTTGGGGATTCTAGGTCACCATTTGATATCACACCACCTGGTTTGGGGGGCTCCCAAGAGGCGGGCGGGGGGGGGCGGGCGGCGGGCGGCGGCGGCAGCGGCTGCTGTTGAGACCGGCGCCGCGGCCCGCCGGCGTGGGCGGCTGGCGGCGACGACGGCGAGGGTGAGGGCGAGGACGAAGGCGTGGACGACGACGAGGGAGGGAGCGGAGGAGGGAGGCCAAGGAGGAGGAGGAGGAGGAGGAGAAGGAGGAGGA